TCTGACTGGGTCAGCTCGCATGCAGAAGGCTTGGTTGGCATTTGCCAACTTGAGACATCTGTGGCGTCGTCGCGACATCCGGCTGTCTGTGAAGGGTCGAGTGTATGCCGCGACAGTTCGGCCAGTCTTGGCCATTACGGGAACAGGATAAAAAAAAGACTGTCGGTGTTTGAACTCCGCTGTCTACGTCGCATTGTACGAGTCTGGTGGGGTAACCGGATGAGCAATGCTGAGGTTATACGTAGAGTTTCAGGCAGTCGCGGTCGTCCACTGGAGCAAGTTGGTTGGGGCATGTGTTACGCATGTCACTAGATAGGTTACCACGGCGAGCGATGTTTGCCGAGGCATGTAGCGGTTGGAAAAGGGTCAAGGGTGCTCAAACGAAGACCAGGCACGAAAATCCTAACTAGGAGACTAGGTCACATAGGTCCAGTTAGACTCTCTAGCTGGGGACCTCGGGATGATGGTCACTGATGGTTAGATACACAGTGATATGGATGGATGTCGCCAGTAGTGGCGCTCGTGCATCCACTTATCATTCCTTCAACACCATTCTATATGAATTTTCCATCTTCCGCTTGAATTTATTTTTAACACTCCAATCTTCATTCTGCTCTTTTATCCAAATGGGGAACCAAAAGACAGCAACCAAAACTGGCGCACGAAAGTGCTTGGTTAATGGTTGTAAAAACCGAACGGAACTAAACAATTCTCGCTTTAGGAAGTGAGTGTCTAAATTCATGTTCATTACAAAGTTGAAACAATAACCTCCGAAAGTGTTACTAGTAAAGATAATCCCAAGTAAACGACTATCTACCGTAAGGCACCTCCATTGGTGTGGAAGGCGTCGAATGACCTTCAATCTATACTACAAATTTTCAGGTGCAATACAGGATTTGTTCACATCTGAAACCGTATATTCTAGATTTGTATGCCGAAAACCGTAAACAAATCAAGATTATTTATCACAAGTACCCAAATACTATCACGGTGACTATTTACCTCAAACGTATGGTATCCAGTTAGAGATTGTTTTTACCAGCACAGTACATCATCTGTTGTTGGAAGTGCACGTCATTCATACTAACTTCATAGGGAAAACAACATAATTTACATCGATCAACAAACGGTCATGCAAAAGAATACAGCACATCATTTGAAAATACGAAAGGGATTCAACAAGCAGACTGCATGTACTCTGGATAAGAAGAACAAATAGAAACAAACTGAGCCTTTGTCGAATACATCGATCAAAGGAAGACAATGGGTAATAGAATACTGTAGGGGAAACAAGTTGATGAACGATATTGGCACACGGCACAATTCGTCATTAAGATATGATTATCACATGGGATACGTGTTGGTCATCTGCATTATATGTACAAACAACGGCTCTACAGTGAGGATATTCCAGATTTTGGTATCACTCAATCAGTTCGTCAGGCCCATCGGGCCAAAAGTGATCATCTAACAGGGAAGCGGAACTAGCGGACTTGGTCAAACACAAAAACATGTCGGATGGTAAACTATGACAGCGCCGTTTCAATCCCAGATCTGTGGCTGGCGACGAAGATACATCAAAAGCCGAACGAATTGTACTCGGTGCTTGTCGTTTTAGATTACCATTCAGTTGCGGAGAGATTGATCCGTCTGATACGGTGACGTTGAGCACGTTTTGCTTTGACTTCTGTTTTGCTTTATGTCTTTCAGCCTTTTTCGCTTTAACGGCGAGAGATTTATCGATCAAATCAGCTTCCCAGTCAACCTGAACCAGCCGATAGATGCACATGGAGGCCCGGGCGTCTTCAACTGAACAATGCTCCCCGTTTTGAATGTTCACTCCTATTAAAGTGAAATATAAAAAAGTCTGCGAACATTAACATTTACAAAGTGAGTGAACAGCTATACGTGTAAAAGAATTTCCCTCTCTATTGCCTGCAAAATCAGAGCAACAGCTCTATGGCACACGCAGTTTGTCAGAAATCGTTATTAACCGGCAGGATAGACAGCGAAGTAGGAAATAAACCGGCGGTGTGGCCACTTACATCAATGTTTCCTGGTGTGGCAAGTCAGAAGTTATATTTAACTACTCTGAAAACTGCATTGACTGTTTGTCTGTTCGTTGTCACTTAAATTTTCTCGTCACAAAAGTACAATCATCACCAATGTGTATATATCTCCATCTCGTACTCGGACCTAAATTTCTGCTTTCTTTGATTTCTTTATTCCATTTCTAGTTCCATTATTAGATGAAAATCTCCACCTACTTGTTGGTGATTTCAGTCATGCAAGCATTCCTCTCTTGCTTCTGATTGGTTTATCTGACCTTTCCTATTCTCCTACAAGATGTAGTTCTGTGCTGGACAGAGTGATCACAAACCATCCCATCTTATTCTCTCTTAAACTAATGGCCCCGGTTTCTACCAGTGACCATAGGATTCCTGTTGTTAGACCAAAGGTATACTCTCGCATTGCTTATCAAGCATTCATACGCTCTACTTAGATAAAGTTTCATCCAAGGTACTTTTCACCCAACTGTATCTCTCTTCTCAACCGTTCTATTGTGATCGTTCAGTCTTGGTTTGGTTCTTGTCCTTCGCTTTCTAAATGTGTCAATCTGTTCAATGAAACGAATAAATTAATTTGTGTTGTCCCATAAAAATCCTGTTTATCTGTAACAGTAGAATTACCTCACCGTTTTTGAAATCACTGAGAAGATACAAAGAACTGGCCAACAAATCTCGTCTTGCCTCACTTGTAAAGCACTATTCTGAGTTAATCAGGTCCGAGATAACGTACCTGAATGCAATCTTCGCCGCCCGAATTCTGCGAACGAAGAACACGAGGCTCTTATGGCAAGGTATTCGCCTTCTCTGTGGGCAGAACAGAAAACATTCTAATACCTCTGTGGATGTCAACAGCCTCAACGCCGCTTTCATCCACCCGTCAAACGAGAGCCAGGCTCCCTCATTCCTATGCAATGAATCCAGTTTAGTGCCTTTTTCCAATGATGTAATCTTTAAGCTTCTTCGATCCTGCAAA